GGTGGGGTGTACCCCGTGGGAGGTTGCTGTCGGTGTCTCGGGGTCGAACTCTTCGCTTTTTACCTCAGGCCCGCGGCGGTGCTGTGGTGAAATGGGCGGGTTTCAGGCCCCGAATAACGGGGTTATCCATGTTGGAAGGGGTTTAAACCACTTCGGGTGCTGAAAGCAGGGGCTGAAGTGCTGCGGGCTTTATGCCTTATGCATTCAGAAACTTCCAGGGATGAGGAATGTCTCTGTGCTGCCGTGTGAGTGCCTTCAAAGTGGAAAAATCATCTTTAGAGAAACAGTATTCATGTGTATTAGATAGAAATCAAACACTGAGGGGTGCTGCTTTCTCTTTGCGGAGTGCTTTAAAAGCAGGAAGCTTTAAAAACACTCTTTTTTTAATCTATTGTTAAAGGCCAGAATACCCTAATGATTCTCTAGTGGGTCATCAGAATTGTGTGACCAAGGACACACTTGGCCACCTCTCAGATTTGTCTGTCTGTGGATCCACCAAGTAATCCATCCATCAAATCCATGTCTCTCTAATTAGAGACAAGGATGTTATGGGGGACAGTGTCAGATGCCTTGCACAAGTCCAGGTAGATGATGGCAGTCGCTGTTCCCTGATCCACCAGCACTACTGACCCATCAAAGAAGGCCACCGAATTTGTCAGGCACAGTTTGCCCGTAGTGAATTCATGTTGAATGCCCTTACTGTTCATGTGCCTTAGCAGAGTTTTAAGAGGATCTGCTCCATGGTCTTGCTGGGTACTGAGGTGATCCTGGCCACTCTGTAGTGCCCTGGCTCTTCTTTTTTTCCCTTTTTAAAAATAGAGGTTATGTTTCCCCTTTTCCACTCATCAGGAACTTCACCAGGGTGCCACAGCTTCTCAGATATGATGGATAATGGCTTGGCCACTTCACCCACCAGTCAGGACCTGTGGATGCATCTCATCAGGCCCCATGGACTTGTGCACCTTCAGGTTCCTTAGATGGTCTTGAACCTAATCTGCCACAGGGGGTGGTTCTCCATTCTCCCACTCCCTGCCTTTGCTCCCCTTCTGTGACATGGGTGGTGTGGCTGGAGCTCTTGCTGGTAAAGACCTGGGTCTTCCTCATGTCCCAGGTCTCCCATTTCCTTGTGGAGGGGGCCCACATTTTCCCTTGTCTTCCTTTTATCCCCAGTGTACCTATAGAAGCTTTTCTTGTTGCCCAGGTACAAGTCCAGGGCAGTGAGCTTGCTGCATGCCTTCCTCACTGCCCTAAGGATCTTCATCTCCACCATTTCATAGTCACTGCAGCCAAGGCTGCCCTTGAGCTTCACATTCCCCACCAACGCCTCCCTGTTGGCGAGGACAAAGTCCAGTCCAGCACCTCTCCTCCTTGGCTCCCCTATCACTTTATCACTTGGAAAAGGATGTTATCATCAGCGCATTCCAGGACCCTCCTGGATTGTTCCTGCCCTGCTGGGTTGCCTCCAACAGATATCAGAGTGGTTGAAGTCCTTACAAGGACCAGGGCTTGTGAATATGAGGCTGCTCCTGTCTGTATCCAAAGGACCTCATCCACTTAGTCTTCTCTTGGTTGGCTCCTCATCCATCCCCAAGCAGAGCTCCGTGGCCTCCAGCTGGTAACTGACATAGAAGGTGACGCCACCTTGCCTCCCCAACCTGTCCTTCCTGAAGATAAATCCTCCTGAAGAGCCTGTATCCTTCCATTCCAAAACTCCAGCCATAGGAGCCATCCCACCATGTCTCTGTGGTGCCAGTAGGATCATAGCCCTGCAGGCTTCAACTGGGAGCATGGATGAAAAAATCCCCTGTGCTCCAGCCCCTTCACACCACTCCCAGGGATCTATAGTCCTTCTTGATCCTCCCCAGATTGCTGCTTCTGGCAGTATCTGTTGTGAATATCTGCTTGTGCATCATCCTGGAGTCTTCTTACTTGTAAGATTGCAAAATATTACTACGTAAGTAAATACCATTGGGTCAAAGGGGAAACTGAAACAAGAGATCATATATCTCTTCTCCAAGCGATATCAGGCCAGTCCACAGCTGCCAGAAACTTTTGTACCTGAATTTGTGCACGTCTTTGAACATCATTGCTGAGATCATTCCTCCCTGGGTGGCAGCAGCAGTACTTGAGATGTAGCCTCTTTGTAGCCTCTTAAATGCCTAAGCATTTAAACTTAGGCCATGGTGGTCAAATTATGCTTTCTCTTGGCAGTACATTATTTTTCCCTCCACACTTTCTTTTACCTTTAGTTTTAAACCCTTTCTTGACTGAACTTTAAATCTGAAAGAAAGAAAGTGCGTGTAATAGCTTTTTCCAGCTGATGTTGTTCTTGCTTCAAACCCAGTTCTAACAACTCCCCAGCCAAGCCTGGTTGCCATCAGGTGTGCTTCTAAGAAAAGTGGGGGCAGCTCAAAAAATCTGGGTGGCAACAGCCCTGGGAAGCGCTACGGGTTCAAGAAAACAGAAGGTAGGTCTGAGTATCTGCAGAGTTGGGTTCCTCACGGCTTCCCCCCCCCCCCCGGTGCTGATTGCAGTAGGAGGTGGCCAGGGCACTCTTCCAAAAGAAAGGGAAGGGGAGGTTCAATGAAGCCTCATGATCAAGGGTGGCTGGTGGGAGGGCAGGGTGAGGGAGCCAAAATTGCCTACAGAAAATGTACTTATATTCCAACTCTGCCTCTCTGGAGCTCCTGGAAGGAGGGCAGGCAGAGGGACACTTTTGCCCCCAGGCTGCATTGGAAAGCTGGGTATTTGAGATGTTTACAAAGAGGAGAATTATGAGGCTTAGCAGAAGCCAAAGTACAGATTCATGCAGTTGAGTGCTTATAATTATTACCTTTGCTGATGAAAACATATTGATGTAAAAGGTAATAAAAAAAATACCTTCAGCAACCAGAAAATGCTCTGCAGCCCCAAGGAACCTTTTCAAAGACTTTACATTGCTTTTTGCCATTGTGCATCAATTGCCCTTTATTTCCTGCTAACAGCATTTTTGGTTAGATGCTTTTAGCATTTCAAGTTCATTTTTCCTTAGAAAATTTCCACCAAAAGCTGAGGTTTGTAGGTCCTAGAACCACTTGTGTTCTGGGGAGCTCTGTCTGACTCTTGTCACTCTGTTGCAGGTGCCTTTGTGCATGCAGGCAACATTTTGGCTACACAGCGGTTGATACGCTGGCATCCTGGTGCTCATGTAAGTTGTTTTCTAGCTCTTCCTTGGTTCTCAGAGAACAGCAGTCCCATACTCGATGCTTCCTCTCAAGCTCATTCTTAATGCTCTTCCCTATATTCTATATAATTCTCAAATGGGGTTTCATGACCTGGTATTTCTTGGTCAGAGAGCCTTCTCTGGGTCACACTCATGCCTGTGTGACTTGGGAAAAGGGTCTGAAAGTTGTGGATATCCCCCTTTGCAACCTAACTAGATGCTTGTGTTTCAGGGTGGAATCAGGATCTCTTCCCTCCTAATGAGCACCACTGTATACTGATTGCTGGAAGCAACTAGTGTGGTTTTGTTTTAAAATACAAAGCAACAGATGCTGTTGAAGCCAGGGTATTAAAATGAGGCAGAACAATGATCAGCTCTGCTTTAGTGGTGGACCTCCAGCCTTTCCTTCCTAACACTCCTCATCCTCTTCCAGGTGGGGATGGGCCGTAACAAGACACTTTACGCCCTGGAGGATGGCATTGTGAAATACACCAAAGAGGTCTACATCCCTCTGCCCCGCAGCAGTGAGAGCAGAGAAGTGATCTGTCGGCTACCCAAAGGAGCAGTTCTTTATAAAACCTTTATCAGTGTCATCCCCACCACAGAAGTAGGAGAATTTAAACTGGTCACCATGCTCTGAGCCATGACACAGGGATGGATGGGAAGGAGTGACTGGGACAGACCACTACAGCTGGACCGATATCAGAGGACAAGAATACCCTAGCTCTGAAGGTACCAGTTTGGGACTTTGTTTTCTTGCTCCTAAAGCACACATGGGCAGTGCTCAGGCACTGGGATCACCTGCAGGCATTTCTCAGAGTGTGTAATAAATGCTGTGGGGCTGCTGAAGGCCTTAGCTGTTCATGGGATGTGTTACTTCCGTTCATTTACCATCTGGAACTACCTTCCTCTGGGGAACCTGTTCCATTGTGCCACTGGATAAGTTCTCTCCACAAGCACTCTTAGGTCACTACTTATCCCACTAATTCCCTCTATTTTTGCTCATTACTGTTGTATTTGTATCTTAATTCAAAATACTGCAGAAGTGATCCTTTTGCACCTAACTGCATCCCAGGAAGGTAGATTTTTCCTTCTACCTCATCCCAATGTTTAACTCAAATATCTGGAATACAACTCAGATGTCATTTATTAGCCACGAGAGGCAAGTTTGCACTTGTAAAGCTTACTCATGACTAATTGTCGAGTGCCTGGGAGGATGCACAGGCCTGGGGTGGTATTTGAAGCTCAGCCGCTGGAGGTGTAGCATAAGGCCATAATCCAGAAGACATCCTTTTTGTCTTCCCGAGTCATTCCCTGACATTTTTTGAGCTTCTATTGTTCAAAAGAAAGGAGCCCCAATACCTTGTGATCTGATCTCATTTTATCTACATGTTTGTAAACAATTTGAAACATTGGCTCTGCAGTAGAAAACAGGTTATCAAAATTGGTGGTGTCAGGACACCGGTGTGGATGCTATTAGATTGTCTGCTCTGCAGAAGATAACTAAGTTAGGTCAGCCACGCATGTCCACCTTTGCTTTACATTCCCCATGGTTCATAGTTCACCAGCTATTTTGGCTGCATTTTTGTCCTTTCCCAGTCACATGGTTCATCTTTGTGGTTGGTATTTGCATACAGCAGCTAACACAACTCCTGGAGCCTCTCCACATCTTTATCTGAAGTCCATACAAAAATCACTGCTGGTCACAGAGGACCATTGCTGCAGGAGCACACAGCAGTGCTCTGATGCTGACCCATTCTGCTGCTCTCAGGTGAAGCTTCCCACCTGGTAGCCAATGCACTGATAAAGTAAAACATTTCATAAACTAAGAAACAAGTGAAGTAGCACAACAGGGTGACTGAGGTCTGATCCTTGGTACAACTGACAGTGCTTGCCTCACAGAGGTGCAATATGCCAGCTGCCTGAGGAGCTCTGGCTGAGCAGACCTTCACCTTGGCTTTGCCCCTTGTATAGAAGCAAGCAGCTGGTCTCTTGCTTTTGGTAACAGTATGTTTGCCAGAGAAGAGCGAGCACACACATCCCTGGTTGCTCTGCCTGGCAGTGGCTCCGTGGTTGTGCTTGTGCTGCAGGAGGGATGTCTCTGCTGGCCAGGTCTGACCTGCCTGTGCCTCAGCTGATGGCAAACCTGGGCAAAGGTCTCATGTTTGGCCATTCCCTGTGGAGAACAATGTCACAGGCACTTCTGTCACTGAAACCATGGGAAGCAGCAGCACACTGAGGCCTTACACAGCTGTGTTTCGCCGAGTTTGGTAGCCAAGAGGGGCCTGAAAAGGGTCTGGCATGCCACGTCTGTCCAAGGTCTCTGAGCTTATCACTGGTCCTGAGAAAGCTGGAGGATGCCTCAGAGCATGCTCATAGGGAGGCGGCATCTATTGAGGAGAGAGGAAGAGCGTTACAGTGGATCAGAAATAACCAGGAGATTATCCCACCTCTTCTCGTGGAGCAGATGACAAGGCTTCCAACCACCACCAGCCTGAAATCAAACTGCAGTCCTCCAAGCAGCAAGCTGCTAGCCAGGAGAGCTGGGAGATGAGGGCTTAGCACCCTCATCTTGCACCTTGCAATGCAGTAGTGCACACTGAAGAGGCATGTTCCCTCTGCTTCCCCCAGCTCTCTGTGCCAGGTTCCAGTTCTTCCCTGTTCCCCTTCGAGGACTTGTCACTCTTGTTAAAAGGCCAGAAAAGACTTAACTTTCATCAAGAGGACTGTCACTCACTTTCCTTTGACCAAATATCAATTACTGTAATTATACAAGCACCTACAAACCAGGCTTTCTGCTCAGGTTTTGGTAGCAAGTCTCACTACACAGCAGCAGAGAGGAACCTCCAGGCTGTTGTTACATGTATTTTGGCAGAGCTGAGCCAGCTTTCTCCCTGTGAGGAGCCACAGGAGCAGCACAGGGATGTTGTGGAAGCACTCCTCTTGCAGCTCCTCAGCTAGGGCCTTACTTTCTGCCCTTGGTACTCTGGTTTCAGGGCAGCTCTCATTAGTTACAGCTCCAAATACCAAGTAGCAAGTGTTGACTAAGCCAGACTTAGGTACAGCTTTAAGAGCTCAAAATCCAGGTGAACCTTCAGTTCTCTACCTGGCGTTTCAAATGTTTCTGTTCTGCTTTAGTCAGGGAGGTCTCTTTGTTCAGTGAGTCTCTCACGAGACCACCACAGGACCTACTTGGCAGAGGCACTCGCTTTTCTCTGTTCTGTTGCAGGAGTGCAGATCTTAAACAGGCAAAGCCTTCTGCTCAGAAATAACACTTGAAGGTAATAGTGAAGGGCCTCCCAAAGGCAGGGAGAAGGGAGCAAGAAATCCTGGAAGCCTCACAGATCTAAAAATAACATTCCAGCTTGGACTTGTACCGAGCAGATGATCCGAAAGGCTCACCTTCAACAGCAGCTCTGTCCTGCCTCCGGCACCCCGAGAGCTCGATCATTAACCAGCACAAATGAACACCACAGATGAACAGGTCTCACCTTCATCAGCAACTCTGCCCTGCCTCCCGCACCCTGAGAGCTCGATCATTAACCAGCACAGATGAACACCAAAGGAGCCTCCCGATACCCTTTGTGCCCTTCCCAGAGATAAAGGCTATCAAAGTAAGGCTATCACAGAGAACAGAGTCCTGCAGCAAGACCCAGATGCAGACCAGAAGGGGGAACTGCCCCTGGGGCTCTGCCAGCACCCCAGTGCAGGGGAGGGAATGCTCACCTCCTGGGAAGGTTCTGCCCACAGCCCGAACCTCTCAGCAATCATTTGGTGGATCTCCCGCTGGCGATCTTTCTTCCGTACACTCTCATAGCTGGGTAGGCGCGGCTGCTCCCAGTATGGTACCTGGTACGTGCTGGGGGGCCCGACGCAGAACAGCTCATCCCCCTGGAAATGCCCAGCCAGAAGAGAAAGGTCAATGTGGTGGTGGCTGTCTTTGCTGGAAGTTCATGGCTTGGTGCAACTTCAAGTTACTTCAGTGTTTGAAGTTGTAGCTGCCCTTCCTTGAACTCTGAGGAGGAAATCCTCCCTCCTGGGAGATAATCACACCATCTCATGCTTGCAAGATCCCAAATCCCAAGGGAGCTGCATGGCACTTACCATGGCGTCTCTGCTCCCCACATCCCCCTCCACCACAGATTTTACATACAGGCAGCACTTCTCAAAGCTGCTGCTGCTCAGCGCCTTCTCCCTCTGCCCCAGGAGTCCCCAGGTCCCCATAACCATGGCCTTTTCACTCATTCCCCTCCAGCTCCCATCAGGGACCCAGCCATCACCTGCACACCCGGGTTCTCAGCCGCAGCACTCTCCAAGCGCGAGGCTCTGCACTGGGGACCCACCAGCCGCTGGCTGCTGCTGAAGTAGGGTGGGGGGCAGTCCTGTAAGGAGGGGTGGGACATTAGCAAAACCAAGAATGCCTCTCATCCTGCCTGGCAATGAACAGAGCTGAGTTGGTTCACATGGGCCAGCCTGGGAAGTGGGGTTCTGGCAGGGGAGAGAACCACCTCTGCCCTTTGGGCTGGTGCGGCTCTCACCACCAACCTCCACCTGCCTCTTTACCAACGCTAGCAGCTCAGGCATATGCTCACCAAGGCAGCACAGAGCTTGAGCCCAGATGGAAGGATGACAGCCTGGGCCCAGGTTTCATTCAGACTCAGCAGAATCACCTCTTGATTCATCTACTTAGGACAATAAGCCAAGCCAAGTATTCCGCTAGCATAGCTAAGAGCTCCATCACATGCTGAAGGTTAAAGAATTTGTAAACTCTTATCTACCAAGGTAGTCATTTCAGGATAATGGAGCAAGCAAATCTGCAGAGCAATGGCTGTTCTGTTCCCGAGTAGTTCTGCTCCAGTTAAACTCAGTTGCTATCAACATGTTGAGCAAGAGTGAGCAGAGATCATCTCTCTGTAGAGAGCCTTCTCCCTGACATGCACCACAGACAGGCAGGCAGCAAGGAGGAAGAGGAGGAAGGAGCAGACGCAGTGAAGCTGGCAGGGGACACCCACAGCCTGTTCCCACTCTTGATTTCTGCTGGGGACTTCCCAGCCTGTGCTGGACTATCACATTTGCCTTTCATGATGCCAGTCTCCATTCCCTCCCAGCTGAGGCTGAACATTCCCTCTTCTACCAGGGGAAAGTGGTACCTGCAGCTCTCAACAGCCATCCTGCAGCTCTGGAGGCTGAGCTGTCCCCAGGCAGCCACCAACCACCACAAAAGCAGCACTGCCTGAACACGCTGCTCTTTTCACCATCACCAGCTCCCAACTCAAAAGACAGCCCCAGGAAATTACAGCTGTGAGCAAAAAAGGCTTTTGTGTCTCACTGCTCCGTGCTGGGAGCTATGCACACTTGCCGGGGATGCGATTGGCTTTGTCTGCCTTTGCCCTCAGGTTCCAGCCCCATCCCCGCTGGGCCCCTTCCCCATAATGCAGATCCTGACCCCACTACAACTGTGCATCACCCCTCTCCAGGGATCCAGGGCACCTCCCCATATCAGGCCTTGGGAATGTTACCACCAACAGCACAGCCAAGTTCATTGGGGCGATGGAGCTCTACAGGAGATTGGGAGCAAGGAGGAGGCAGAGCCTGTCTCTGCTTGGGGGTCCCATGTTCATCCTGGAGCAGAGTGCAATGGAACATGAGCCCGGGAGCAGCGGGGAACTCGGGGCAGGAGGACACTCACATACTGGCTGGGGCTCTGGAATAAGCGGCAGGAGCAGAGGAACTGGCAGCACATGGGGTCCCGGTGGTACAGGAGCAGCAGCAGGATGAGGATTGCCACGATGAAGACGGAGGTGGACACAGCTACCAGGGAAGGGAGAAGAGGGGAATACCTTTGGGCCCACGGGCCTCCCCACTCTCTCCTGCCTTCACCCCCGGGGTCTACAGTCAAGAGTAGCTTGAAAAAAACCCATTCAAGCCCATTTTACCGGTTGCCTGTCCCGAGAACGCCAATAACCACGCCGATAGGTCCTGCTCAGCCTTATCCCAGACCGCTGCACCGGGAGCCGGGCCCGGCACCCTCCCTCCCGGGACTCTCAGCTCACACGCGGCCCCGCGGCAGGGAGCCCGGGTCTCCCGCACCCCGGCTCCCATAGAGCCCACCCGGCACCGCCAGCCCCTCCCGCCGCTCCCCTCGGACCCGAACCCAGGGACCAGCGGTGCCCCGGAGAAGGACCGCGAGCTGTAACGACCGCATCCCCGGGCCGCAAGGAGCCGGCACAGCCCGAGGCCGCCCCCACCCGACCCCGATCTACCGGAGCCCGTCCCGCCACTCACTCGCGGCGATAACGATGGCCAGGACGTTGCTGTCCATAGCGGCTCCGCCAGCCGCCGTGTGCACCGAGGCCTCGCTGGGCTGCGCCATCCCTCCGCTGCCACCCGCACCTGCAGCCGCTGCCCGCGCCCCACCGGCCGGCGGGGCGGGACCGGGAGCACCGGGGAGGAGCCGGGCGCATCCCATTGGCCGCCGCGCCACCCTCCGCCGTCTCCCATTGGCTGCAGGCGGGACGGGCTGCATTGGCCGGCGGTTGCCGTGGCGACGCGGCGGGCGGGCTCCGACGGAAGGGACCGGTCCCGGCTTGTCCCCTCCGATACACCCGGACCCCGGCTCCTCCGACCCCGCGGTTACCGGAGCATCCTGCGGTAGGGTAAGCCAGGCTGTGTGTGTGTTTGTCCTCGCGGGCAGGGAGCGGCCGCAGCGCTGCCCCGCTCCCGGGCAGGGAGAGCCTGGGGAGGCTCCGGCCCCGCCGGCACCGGGTGGTGCCCGCTCATTAGCTAATTAATTAAGTAGCTAATTACTAAATAAGCGCCTACAGGGCTGTGTGTCCTCCCCCGGGCACAGGCTATGGAAAACCAACGGCTTGGTGCTTAGCTGCACATTGCCATGGGGAGCAAGCCCAACAAACGCTCCCAGCACACCAATACACCCCCCCTACACCCCCAACAAACACCACCAGCACCCCAGTACAACCCCCCATAATCCATCCCCCTGGGTGCCCAGGACCGGGTACACCCCACCGGGATGCCATGCGAAGGCAAAGCTCCCCCCACCCCTCCCCGCACACACCACACAAACCCATCACACCACACTATAGAGGCAGAGATATATTTGTGGAGATGTTGCATATTTAAGACAACTTTACACAATGCTTCCAACAGAGTTTTGGCGTCTCCCCCCCCACCGTGCCCTTCACCGGCAGGTACCTGCCTTTGCTGTCAAGGTCTCTGTCCTGTTTGACAATGTGCCTCATGAAGCACCAGCATCCTTGAACAGGGGAGACAGGGAGTGTGAGCCCCAGCAGGGGGAAGCTGGGCCCTGGCAGAGGGTGGAGGATGGCACCGGATCTTTGGAGATGGCAAAATGCGACTGGCCGAGGCACGGAGCTGCTGGCACTGCCTGGAGCACAGTGGTTGGGCCCAATGGGCGCCTGCTTGTCCCCTTCCCATGCAGCAAGCAATTCCCCTTCCCAGGCTGCAGGCGAGACGTGAAGTGTCTTCCCAGGGTGAAAACCAAGCCCAGGCTTTTCCATAGTCAGTCTTGGAGAAAGGAACATCACAGGCAGGTCCCATGCCTGGGAGGATGGCAGGAAAAGGGGATGCTCCACTGCACCCCTTCCACAAGGAGGCAGAAGCAGAAAGCACAAATGGATTCAGCTGGACCTTGTCTTGCCTCTTTGTTTTTTGGCCAGGGAAGCACAGCAGCTCCTGAGAGCTTCCGATGACCCAGGAGAAAAGAAGAGGTTGGGCCAAAGGGCCGTGGCACGGGTCAGCACTCCAGGCACAGCAAGCTCTCATCCACAGCAGGACATCAGCCCAAGGGGTGGCATTTTGGCAGGGAACTGACCCTTTGCTGAAGCTGACAATGGCAACAGGGTCCTACATCAGCATTTGGGACTGTAACCATGAACTGAGTGCTCCACTGTAACAAGACACACACCAGCAGCTCTGGATGTTTGGCACCATCAGGCAGCACCCCACAACCCTGCCCAAGGGCAGCAGGGTGGGCATCCCAGCAGCACCCAGCAGGAAATAGGGAAACAGCAAAACAATAACCATCATCATTAATAGTAAAAAAATCATGTAAACGACCCAGCACCCTGTCCTGTAGTGCCAGGACACCCAAGAGAACAAGATATGTTACAGTCTGAGGGGAGGTGGAGACACAAGGACTTCCCGGCCAACGCGGGGTCTCGTCTCTATTGCACTTTGCATCATATATATTTCTCTCTATATATATTTATAAAAATACAAACTAAAGGACTGGGGTGGAGGGGGTGAGATGCAAGCCCTGGCCCAGCCGCAGCTCCATGCACGTGGCACGCTTCACCCCATCTCCTTCTGCCTGTCCCCATAGCCCTGTGCCAGCCCTGCCTGGAGTAGCACACAGCTTCATCCTGGAAGGATGCTCAGAGGGTGCTGAGCTGGTCCAGAGCCTGCACATCCACCAGCCTTCCCTTGCTCCCCTATCAGCACTTCCCGAGGCTCCAAGGCCTGGAGGGACAGATGCACAGCTCTCCCCAGCCACCTTCTGGCCAGCCCATCGCGCTCTCCATGCTCTCCCCAGCCAGCAAGAGCCCATTCCTGGGGGAGGTGGACAAGCCTCACCTCACCCCTCTGCCCAAAATCCCCCACAGAAGGTTTTCCCCTACCCAGGGGTTCCCATTCTCTCTTCCTCGAGCGCTTACGGTGCAGATGGCACAGGACGATGCAGTTCGGGGATACCCCCAACGCCAGTGACAGTGATGGAGGATGCTCCTCGCTCCCAAGGCCGCCCCCCCGGCTGCTCCTGCTACCTCAGCCGCCCGTCAGGTTTGACGGGCCCCAGTTCTGATTTGGGGTCCGGGGAGAGGGAGCTCCAGGAGGTTTTGCTGCAGGTCTCCAGGGCGGTGCAGGCAGAGGGGCTGCTCACGCAGACGTCTGCCACGGACCAGAAGGCGCTGATGGCACTGTCAGCCCAGTCCTCCAGTGCCTTCCCCGTAAGCTGCGCCTTCCGCATCGCGTCCTCCTCCACTGCCTCGGAACGTGGCAGGTTGAGGATCCCTCCCAGGCCCTGGAAGCTCTGCTCCATGTATTCGTTGCGGGGGGGACCGCCATGCAGCCAGTTACTGTCGTCTGCGCAGGAATGGGAGAGAAGAGAGTAGGATCAGCAGCGCAGAATCACAGAATGGTTTGGGTTGGAAAGCACCTTAAGATCATCCAGTTCCAACCCCCTGAGATGGGCAGGGATGCCTCACTCTAAACCATGTCGCCCAAGGCTCTGTCCAACCTGGCCTTGAGCACCACCAGGGATGGAGCATTCACAACTTCCCTGGGCAACCCATTCCAGTGCCTCAGCACCCCCACAGTAAAGAACTTCTTCCTTATATCCAATCTAAACCTCCCCTGTTTAAGTTTTAACCCATCACCCCTTGTCCTATCACTACAGTCCCTAATGAAGAGTCCCTCTCCAGCATCTTTATAGGCCCCCTTCAGACACTGGAAGCTGCTCTGGGGTCTGAGCATCCTTCAATGGTCCCTTCGCCACCTCCTGGTGTGGCTCAGTACCCCATCCCTTTGCAACCCCAGCTCTCCTCCAGCCTGGTGCAGCTGTGGGACAGACATAACTGACCACAGATGGGCCTCCTCTGAGGACTCTACATGGGCAAAGGGACACCAATGGACAACAGCTCTTGCAACGTCACCAGAGAGGCCAGGACTAGGGGGACCCCAGGGAGACCCTCCCATGAAGCCCCAGGCTCCAGCACACTCTCACCTTTCCTGAGAGGCTGCTTGCGGTTGAAGGTCTGTGGCACCACCAGGAACTGGCTCTCGCCCAGGGGCTCCCAGAACTGCAGGAGACGGATAGTCCAGACACCGGGGCGCAGGGGCCGGTTGAGGGGGGGCTTGTACTGGGTGAACTCTGCCTCGGCATCCACCGTGATGTCGTAGGAAGCAGCGATGATGTACGTGGGATCGATCCACACTACTGTGGCTGTCAGGTTGGGACCCCGAGACCACTTCTGCATGGCCACCGGCTCGTCGAAAGGCCCCATCAAGCCTCCAAAGTTGCGGAAGAGTCTTTCCTTGGGATCCCACTCCGTGCCCACCTGGAGGGACAGGAGGCACAAGCGGTGGGACACTGCGCAGGGAGATGCTACCAGCTCAGGTTTTGCTCCCCAAACCAGGACAGGCACAAAACCTTGGAACCCAAAGCAATGCACACCCCTCTCCATGGCTCTCCTGCCTGCCTGTACCATGCCAGCACTACTCCAGCTGTATGATGCCTCCTGCAGATGCATGATGCCTCCTGCAGATGCAGACTGAACCCCAGAGCCTCAGCTCCCCCCTAAAGAACCCTTCAAGCCTTTTCCCCGCTGATCAGCTCCACGTCCCACACAGAAACCAAACCCCTGGACAAAGGTTTGTTCTCAGACATGACAGTGGCACTATGTCCCCTTGTCCCCACAGCGTGCAAGTGGAGGAAGAGGAGGAAGGGCAGAGTGGTGTGGGACAGCCTGGGAGGAAAGTGGGCATTATGAAGGTTTTCCCATTTACCTCAAGGTTTTGCAAGCGGTTTGCCTGCCCTCCGTGACCCGCCAGCTTCAGAGCTCCTTGGGGCATCATCCACACCTCCAGCGACTCTGCCTGCCCCGTTACCAAATTCTGCACTTCCTGCATCACCAGGTAACCCTGGAAACGGTCATCATAGAAATATAAGTGCACGCTGGATGGGAAGCCACGGGGCTCAAATCTGCAGAGAGAGATAGAGAAAGGTTGCACATCTGAGCATTAGCATCCTCTCAGCACAAGATGCAGGCCACCACTCGCAGCCTGGATCAACCCCATAACAAATACCTGACCTGCAAAGCTTGTCGGCCTTTGCTGCCGGTGTGGATGCAGCTTTGTGGAGCCCCAGCCTGGAGAAGGCTGTGTAGAAGGTGAGGGTGACATCGCTGAGGCCACTGAGCCCATCGACACGGTCATAGACATTCTCCCAGTACGCCTTCAGTGCCGGTGTGTTGGGGGGGTAGCTGCCATAGAGGTGCGTGTCCAGGATCTCCAGCACCTCCTGATTCACTGTCGACTCAAACTTGCGGGCGAAGAAGGTGGGTCTGGAGAGTTGCTGGAAGAGCAGAGGTTTGGATTAGACACTAGGAACATCTTCCCTGTGAGGCTGCTGAGGTGCTGGCACAGGGTGCCCAGAGAAGCTGTGGCTGCCCCATCCCTGGCAGTGTTCAAGGCCAGGGTGGACGGGGCTTGGAGCAACCTGCTCTAGTTAGAAGGTGGGGTTGGAACCGGGTGAGCTTTAAGGTCCCTTTCAACCCAAACCACTCTGTGGTTCTAAGATTCCTGACAGTGTTGACTGCACCCACCCGAGCAGGGCACCTGGGAGGGAGACATACCAGGAAGAAACATGCTGGGACCCATCCTGCCCTCTTTGAGGGCACAGGCTAAGGAACAGCAAAGCACAGCCAGCC